CTGAAAACAAAATAAATTGGTTTAGGTAGAATATCAGGAGGTATAATTCAACTGCACTAACAATCTATATTTTTCATATCATATAGATTATAGAAATTCTTACTTCCGGTTCCTTTGTCCTATGCCTTAAATAGCTAATGGGAAAATGTTGACTTACATTTTATTATTTTATTTTTAATATATTATTATTGATTCCACAGAGAAAGGGATATAGAGAAATAGAAATATCAATGATGAGAGAGAATCACTGACCAGCTGCCTCCTGTATGCCCACAACTGGGGATTGAACACATACCTGGGTATGTGCTATGACTGGAAATCGAACTGCCACCACCTGTTTCATAGGCAAAAGCTCAACCACTGAGGCACACTGGCCAGGGCATATTTATTTTTTAGACATATCTACCAAGTATTTTAGTAGCTATAGAAACCAGAAGTACCATAGTAAATAGCAGAACTATTTGGGGCTACCATGTCTAAATAGAGGTTAACAGGTAATAATATTAATAAACGAGAAAGAAAAAGGTAAAGAAAAAAATGTTTATCAAGCACCTACAAAGGTGCTTTGCATTATATGAAGTCCTTTTACATGCATTATTATCAGTAGCTTGGATTACTTTGGGCAAGTCAATTGAATTAATCAGTATTTCCATCTTTAAAACAAATATAACAATAGTACTTGCCTCAAATGGGTATTTTTTTGAACGCTAAATGAATTAACATATGCTTTAAAATAGCACCTGACACATAGTAAATACTATATGCAAGTGTTAGTTATTATTATTGGATACTTTTATTATCTCAATTATTAGAAAAATAATCTTGAAAATAGCAATTAGCTAATTTAGCAGATAAGAAAATTGAACCTTGAATAGGTTAATTTGCCTTAATTCTAGTGATAGAATTGAAATTTCAAATTCAAGTATATCTGACTCTTGATTTAGTATTTCCACTGATAATATCATATTGCATCTGAAACTGTTTAAACAAAGATAAGACATAGAAATGTATTTCCCATGTTCAGGACCATTTCATAAAAATTATAGGAAGACCTCACTTATATATCCTTAATTATACTTCTACTTCTTAAAAATAATAAAAGATTCTTTAAGTAATAATATCTATTTTGGAAATATATAATTTTAAAGAGATAATGGGACACAAAGATAATTTTGTATATCAATGATTTATGTTCCATAGAATATTATAATGATTAGCATTTCTCCAATGCCAACAGATTATCCATCCTGTTTATAAGATCAAAGAAAATGCAATTTATTTTTTAAAATAAAGCTTTTCATATCAAAATAAAACAAAAAAGTTGAATAGTTTATGCTATTATATGTTAGGTTTGATAATATCTCATGTTTAGAGGCATGGAGTAAACCAGCAGGCATGTAACTATCAGATGAACTATATTCTAAGACAGAAGGCCTAAAAATAGAAACAAATTCACAAATTAGAAATACCAACTGATTGCATTCTTTCTATAAAATATCTAAATAAGATACACTTTTCTAAACTTGCTATTCCTTTTTTTAAACAGACATGAGAAGAAATCTAAATATATTAAACTTTTCATTTTCTCTAGGGGTCATACTTATCAATAACAACTTTAGAATGCTTTATTTCATTCACTCATTTGTTGTTATACCCTTCACTTTTTTTCTAACTACACACACATCTCACATACAATCATCTGTTCTGATTGTAGAACAAACTAATTATTGAAAATTACTCACTGTAAAATATTAATGCCTGAAGGGAGAAGTTTTGTGTTATTTAACTTTTATCATTAATATTTGTGCTTTCTATCAATAACTTCTGAATCTACTTAACAATTTGCAACTAGTTAAATATAGATAAATGTGGTCTAGAAATAGTTTCCTCTCTTTTTAGGCATAGTTATGTAAGACAAACAAGTTAAAGACAAATAATTGTATTATTATAGGCCCAAAATTATGTTTCTGGATTGCTAGCTGATATTTCAGTGTTATTTTAAAATATTACAAAAATTGCAACTATTAAGAGTATAGAGGAAGTAGGAACATTATTAGAATTATTTGTGGGAGGCCCTACATTGTTTTCATGTTTATTTCATTTTTCAAAAGCTTAACAGTCCTATGGACTTTTGTTGTACATAATCAAACCATAAATATTATATGAAGTAAAGTGAATCTACTAAATATCATAAATTCACAATGAGTAAGTCATCTGCTTTCAAAAACAGAGAAGACATTTTTATGTATATTTTAAAATCATTTAAAAAAAACTAATATAATTTCAGGGTTTTTGATATAGGCATATATGACTATATGATCATGATGCTGTAATGGTGGAACAACCAAAGACTGGTCACCACGAAGCTATGTGCAAGTCGAGGTGCGTGCAGGTGGGCAGGGCTGCGTGCATGGCGAGACGCATGCGGGTGGGCAGGGACTTGAGGCGCACGCAGGTGAACAGGGACTTGACTCTGGGTCCCACGAGCCGCCTGGCACGGTGGGAGTCAGTCTGGGTCCTGCCAGTGTGGCGAGTTTGGGCCTCACGCGATAGAACACGCTAGGCCTCTAGTAAGAGTACCTCTAACTGAAAAAATTTCACTTACGAAAAAAGAACTTCTCACCTTCTGATATAATGAAACATACAGCTTATGGAAAGAGATAAGACTCTTGTCAACTAACAATACCCAAAAATAGGAATGTGGGATATTACGATATTAGAAAGGTAGAAATTCAAGACTTCAGATTTATATGGCGATGAAAAAGGTAAAATATGAAGCTTACTATATCAAAACTAAAATTAATTTAATAGGATTGTGATGATTTCATGGATATACTTTAAATCTAGTATAAAACTTTTTATTCATTTGGTAGGTTTACATAAAATTACTACCAAATTTGACCACTTGGTAGTTATGTAGTAACTAAGAAAAAAGTATTTTACCCCTTATAAGTTAATCTTTACATAGCAAGTACTAAAATACTGGCAAACTTTTCATTGAATCCTCACAGATACCCTAGTGGACAGGTACTTTTATATTCCTAATTTTATAGGAAACTAAAGCACAGAGCAGTTTAATGACTAGTCTATAGTCACCTTGTTAGTAAGTAGCAGAGCCAGAATTCACAGGTCTGAATTTTCAACCTAGCATTTTGGTATTGACTTGAAGCTCCACAGAATACAAAGTACTAAACTATGTGATATAAATTATTTCCCTGCAATTAAAAATAATGTTATCTGGTTATAAATTAATTCCTGATAATTGCTAATACTTTTCTGATATAAAAATAAGTAATAGCATGAAAATATCAAATTACCACACACAAAAAAAATGGCTAAATATAAGCCTAATTTGATTTCCTTCAAACACACAATACTTAACTCCAAAAATCAATGTCTTCACATAGATAGACAATTTTCTTATAAACCAGGGGTGGGTAATGTCTGGCCCTTGGGCTATATAAAGTCGGAGAAATCATTTGGTCTGGCCCTACCAAGGCATTAGGGGTGAGCTAACTAAGTGCTTGAGCAAATATAGCAGGTAATTTTTAAGTTGATAATTTTGTATGGCCTGAAAATGATGTTATAAATATCCAAATAGCCGTTGGCAAAAGTAAGGTTCCCCACTCCTATTATAAGCAAAATAAAACACAAACACATCTCTAAAGGAGATGACTTCTCTCAATTGAACTTTTTAAGTTAGCCTCACAGTTTTAAAAAAAATGTAAAGATTGGTCAAAGAACCATTTCCTTAATAAATAAATAAATAAATAAATAAATAAATAAATAAATAAATAAATAATATAAGGTTGGCTTCTTTTTTAAGCTTATGAAGTTAATTTCTTAATTTAACATTATTCTGGCTGATTTAAGGCAAGACCATTTTATTAATAAGCCTACTTATAATATTATTCAAATAATTTCTGGGTTATAATTCTTATTTACATAGAATAGAAACTATTTTACAACTTGTTTAAAATTTTTATTTTCATATAGAACAGTGGTTCTCAAAGCTTGAAAGTATGGTCTATGGGCCAGTGACATCAGCATCACCTGCGGCTTTGTTAAAAATACAAAATCTCAGCATCCATTGCAGATTTTACGGAATTAGAAAATCTGTGAATAGGGCCCAGCAATCTGCTTTGTGGTGTAGGCTAAAGTTTGAAAAACAGGACAGGAATTACTTAATAGGTGCAGAGAAAAAGCATCTTGCTGATAATAAGATAGTAGATACAAGAGAGTACTAATTTGAAAACTAGAAGGACATAATTAACTTTAACTTGAAATTCAGCCAAGAAACACTTTTTAGGGAGGTAAAGGAAACAATGTCACAAGTGGTAATATAAATTTGCATAAGACTCTGAAAGTAACACCTAGTTTATGGCTTCCTCATAAAAAAGGCCTACCCTTCATTCTTTCCCTATTTTCCCCCTCTGTGCAAAAGCTGAGGTGATTCTTTTGGCATAAAGCCTAGATATTAATTCTGCTTTTTGATTTATTAAATTCATTTAAAATTATGGAATATACAACACTTTATCATCAAAAGAACTATAAAATTGGTATAAATATTCTATTACAACCATTCTTCTGTGCTTTGAGACCAGTGAAAACGGTATCTAAAAAAACAAAAACAAAAACAAAACAGAATTCAGATACAGTTTGAATTATATTAAGAAAACACACCAGATGCCGTGCTGAGTCAGAGTTGTGTTATCACCTCCTTTGAGAACATGCCTGGAGTTCAGCTGATACCACAGACCACTGAAGAATTGCAGGATTTACCTTCTGGACCAGCTCAACTTCCTCATATTATTTCTAGCTTAAGTCCAAAGAAAAATCCAAGAAATATTTTTTTACATAAGTTTTCCTCAGCAAGTTTTTCATTCTTAGCACCACAAGTTTCTTGTTTTGGCTAGCAGAACTATAAAAATAATATTTAAAATATTAAAGAACATGAATGGTTTACTCCTTTAATCTAAGAAAAGCATATTCTATCTCACCTCTGGAGTGACATCTCGTGGTGCAAACCCTGTTCCTCCTGTTGTTAGTATCAAATTAAGTTCCTTTTCATCACACCAATCTATCAGGGTTTCCTGAAAGAAAACAGTAATAATGTCACATGTAGAAGGATGTGCCTGTCTGCTTAAAACACACACATACTCAAATACATTAGGTACAAAGATGAAAAACAGATTCTTATCATCATAAAATTTTTGAAGCACAACTCATAGGACAATTTCACTGTGCTCAAAACACACTACATTTTGAGTGTTTATTTTACTCACAGAAAACGAGGATGAAAGCATCAAATTCTTTAAAGTAAATGAAATATATAAACATTTATAAATTAATATTTATCATGTAGTCACATGGCATACCTAAGTTCTTTTCAGCTTTTCAAAGTACATTCAGGTTAAAAAAATTGAATATTATGTATGTGTCATTTATATGATCTCATTATTAAAAACCACACCAATCCTTCCAGGTAAATATATCGATACATACTTTAATTTCATATTTAAGAAACAGACTCATTCACTTTTTTTTCCTTTAATGAATTCTGAGAGATCAAGAAACTTATTTGATCATGAGCTCACAAACTAAAAGGAGAAAGAACTAGAATTCAAACTAGATCTGTGAGATTCTCAATATATGTTCCCTACTTTCTACCTGTGATTATATGTCAATATTTTCTACTAAGTTTTAAGCTGTTTAGGGAAGTTTTATCATTTTATTGGGAATTATTTCACATGATTGCCTTAAAAAAAAGGTGTAGGAATAAATGATTAAAGTTTTTCCCCTCCACACTACTTACAAAGCCTAGAATTACAGAATTTTACACCATAAAATTTTGGAGATGGTAGGGACCTTAGGAGATTTGCCTCTTCATTTTCCAGATAAGACAAGTGAAGTACAAAGGTGGTTAAATAATTTACTTAAAGTTATCTAGCTAATTTGTAAAGAAGAGGAACTAGGATCTCGTCAGTTTACACTATTGATAATTCTACTCATCCATTCTACATTGTAATTATATTTTAAAAACAATAATTATATATACATTATTGAATTATCTTTTTATAATTCCAGTAAAAAATGTAGTAATACAACTATATTATTTAATTGCTGAGGTGTAAAATAAAAGTAGCAGGCTAATACCTAGATGTAAAACACAATATCCTCTGTTCTCAAATTCATCAATGATATTAAATGCAGGATAATTAGTTAGAAGGAAATTTGGGGTCTAAAAATGATTTCCCCCCCTATCTTTGAATATTTTTATTTCATCCTAGTATCACAGGAATAGAGAGCCCAAAGCTCCAAGTGAAGGGGATTTTCCCCTATGATTTATTAATGGCATCAAACTATTTTTAGAATATATAAATTATAGACTACTGAGAGCCCAAATGAAGAACTTCCATTCCTGATGTAGTTATAATATTGTTCTGAGAAAAGCTCACACACAAAATCTATGAGCATTATAATAAAAGTTATTCCAAGGTGGCTCCCAAACCAAACTTAAAATTTCCATTGACTTGTGCTTCTATATTTAAAGTAGAAAAGCAAAATACTTATGATTCTAAGTAGTTATTATTTCTAGTCCACACAAAAGTAAGTTGATGTTGCAATTCAGAAGTGAGATTAATTGACCCTGTTCTCCCACTAATGGATCCCATAACACTAAATTTCCTTTTAACATTCCAAAGTACTCCTATCAGTACTGGAGTGCCATGCCACAGAATCCTCATTTTTGACCAAATTCCTTTTACATCAGCTCTTGATAAAAAAAAAAATGATATCAAAATTGCATCAATATCCCAAGCACATATAAAATCTATATCCAATACCAAATTTCAGTATTGTCAATAACAAAAGGCCATCCAAACTTTTCTAAATTCAAAATGCTACTAATATAGTTAAAATAGTCCTTTGTATTAAAGAGTTCTACTGTTTGGCATCAGGCAATACTCTCTTATAACATTGTTCTTTCTCAAGATTGCTGCAGCTAGTCGGGGTCTTTTATTTTACTCCAGATGGTTTTTTAGAGAGTTTGTTCCAGGTCTTTGAAATATGCCCAATTCAATTTAATATGAATTGCATTGAATCTATAGATTGCTTTGGGAAGTATAGACATTTTAATGATGTTGATTCTACCAATCCATGAACACGATATATTCTTCCATTTGTTTATATCTTCCTGTATCTCTTTTTTCAGTGTCCTATAACTTATTGAGTACAGGTCCTTTACCTCCTTAGTTAAATTTACTTCTAGGTATCTTAATTTTTTTGTTGCAATGGTAAATGGGATTTTTTTTTTTTTTTTTTTTTTTAGTTTTTCTTTCTGTGAGTTCATTATTGGTGTATGAAAAAGCCATAGATTCCTGAGTGTTAATTTTCTATCCTGCTACATTGCTGAATTCATTTATAAAGTTTAGTAGTTTTTTGGTGGCCAAGACATATAAAAACATGCTCAAAGTTACTAATCATAGGAGAGATGCAAATCAAAACATCAATGAGGTACCATCTCACACCTGTCAGAATGGCTATCATCAACAAATCAATAAAAGGCAAGTGCTGGTGAGGATGCAGAGAAAAAGGAACCCTCTTGAGCACAGCTGGTGGGAATGCAGGCTGGTGTAGCCACTGTGGAGAACAGTATGGTGTTTTCTAAAAAGTTGAAAATGGAACTTCCATTTGACCCAGTAATCACTCTTCTAGGACTATATCCCAAGAAACTAGAAAAACCAATCGGGAAGGACATATGCACCCCTATGTTCATAGCAGCACAATTCACCATTGCTAAGATTTGGAAACAGCCTAACTGCACATCAGCAGATGAGTAGATTAGAAAACTGTGGTACATCTATACAATGGAATTATTACCATTTGCAACAGATGAAACTAGAGTGCATTATAATAATCAGTCAGAATAATCAGTCAGAGAAAGATAAATTTCACACGATCTCACACGTGGAATATAATGAACAACATAAAATGAACAAAAATAGAACATAGACATAGAAGCATCAAACAGACTATCCAACCTATGAGGGAAGGCGAAGGCGGGGGTAAGGGAATAAGAGATTAACCAAAGGAATTGTATGCATGCATATGAGCAAAACATATTGAAACAGACAGTAGGGGGATGAAGACTTGTGCTTGAGGATTGGGGTGGCAGGACAGAGGTCAATGGGGGGAAAAGGTGATTCATGTAATACTTTAAACAATAAAGAATTTTAAAAAAGAAATATTACCCTACTTGTGCTAATAAAAATAGAAACTAAGTATTGAATATAAAGAATACCCCAGGATTATTCAAATGGCATCATTTCTACAGATAAATAAAATTCACACTAACCATTAGAAAAAAAAAAAATAAATATGGAATCTCAGGTCCCATCCAAACCTAATGAATCAGAGTCTGCATTTTTAGAAAGACTCTTCAAGACTCTTTAATTTACACATTAAACTGGACTAATTATGTTTCTATGTAACATGAAGATAATGAATCTATTTTTCTATGGTGTTAGATAACCTGAAAACAATTTTTCTTAACATACTATTTGTTTCAGCATCTATAAGATTCCTTTCATTCTGAGATATATCTTAATATCTGGCTGCCTCTACCAGATAGTATGTCATTGAGAATTCTACATGAGCCACAGTTATGAAAAATCGCTCTGCATCTATTGTAAAAATGAAGCTGAAGGCTTTTTTAATGATTAATTTTCCCTTATGTTGAATGTATTTCTTTATAAATTTTTTGCCTGGAGCTTCAAGGTTAGCATAGAAGAAAGAAGATATAATCACAGAATTTACCCTTCTCATCTAATTAAAATAAAAAATTTAAAAATTAGAAAAAAACATATCCACTAGCAACAATTAAGTAAGAAGATTCACATTAGAAATCTCAAAAGTTAGATAGTCAAGGATAGAAATGAAGGATCTTTGAGGAGCATAGTGCGGCACGGTGAGGCTCCTAATGCTGCTTTGGCTCCCAAAGAAATTATATGGTAAATTATCAAAATCCTAAAAATTCTCACTAATACCTTCAAATCAAGAGCAATGCAAACTAAGAGAACCACGATAGCAGGATAGGTAAATGCTGGTAATCGTCACCTCCCACAACCACATCAAAATTACATCTAAAATACAGAACAACCATCATTAAGAACCACCAGTAATTTGGCTGGATATAAGTACAAACAACTAGAGAAGTAAAGAAGAAAGTATACTGAGACTGGTAGTAGAGGCAGAGGCATGGAATTGGCTGGTATGACAACCATGTGTGTCATTTGTTTTAATCAGGAGGGATATCTCCCACCCTCATACCAGACACCCCAGCCCACAATTCCAGAGCTGAGAGAAGTCCCCATAATTTCAGGCTGTAAACACCAGTGGGGATTATAGCTGACTGACCCAGCAGCTGCTGGGAACACAGGTAGTTCCTCTTAAAGGGCAGGCACATGAACTTACAAGGTCCTAATCCCTTTGAGCTCCAGCACTCGGTGAAGGCATTAGGGAAACTAGGGACTTACAAGGAGAAAATGGATTGTCTGGAATTGGGGCAGGAACTCAGGGGCAGCTTTCTTCTAGAAGGGAGTACTTGCAGTGATCAAATGTCTGTGCTGGGATCTCCCCTAATGCAGAACTGACTGACAGTCAGATCTAAATTTCCTTCCACACTGTTCATTCCACCCTAATAATTCTGTGAGACCCCATCCCATCTAATTTGCAGCCTCACCCAACCTGTTTTTAGTGGTTTTTCCATATGAATGCCCTGTCCTTGCTCAGACTTCAGACTTTCCTAAAATTTCTTTGAGAGGGCAGGGTGGGGCCAGGACAAACTCTTGACTCCACTGTGGGGCAGAGCGGAGTTATCCTCCATTTTGTAACTGAACCCTAGCCCTCACCCAACCAATCAGGGTTAGCCGAGGCAGTGACATCACCACCGACCAGAGTAAAACCTCTGAGCTGGGCGAAATTCGCTCTCTTCCGCCATGCTGCCGGTGTGAGTGGGACAGAGCCCATGCTAGCATGGAAAAGGATCTTTTGTTTATTGCATCGGACTAGGATCCCTGGTGGTCCTTGGAGA